CCGAAACAAACTCCTCTGGGACCTGCTTCGTCAGATCTAAGAAAAGTTTCACTACAGTAAGTCCTGCCAATTTTTAAGAAGATGAAATAAATGTTTAAGATGAGATTTCTTGTAATAAATGGATGTAATCATACTGGCTGAATAGTCGTTTATTATAGATAGAAAACAAAAAAAGAGATTTTTTCTTGACTTGTTATTGGTAGCAAAAATGATGACCCAAAGTTGAACGGTGTTGTTTCTATAGGTCCCTCAAGTCCAAAAAGATTTTACAAGCAATTTTGGGAACGAATTTATATGACAACAAAGAATGAACGTAATTCTTTTTGCGAGGGCTACGCGAAGTGTCGCTTCCATAGGTTCTTCCAGTTTTCAGAAATGTGAATGAAGTTTTTTGTAGTATGGTGACGAATATATACTGGATGAATGGCAGTTTTGTATAGAAGGAAACAGAAACGAGATATTTCTGGTTTTGTTATTGGAAGTCAAACAATGACATCAAAGTATGAAGAGAATAAGTTGAACATAAGTCGAAAGGTGTTGCTACCCTATGTTCGACCAGATCGAAAACATATTACGTATATTGCAATAATGAAACAAACTTTACACTGGCCGATGTAGTGTGCGTGTGTAGCAGTTCTTGTAGTCGGACAAATAGGGAAGAAGTCTCTGGTACTTCACTTTAAATTATAAATACATACGGGCATTAGTAAGGACAATATTGACATTTTTTGTGATGGGGAATAGCTGAGATTTAGTTCTCAGGGTTCTCAGGTGGAACAAGGTGAATCATCCTCATTTCTTAAATTAGCAGCAAATAGAGACTGGTTCGGACCTCGGCGAAGAGGTTGAGGGCTGAACAAATTGCAGCGCATGATCCCACGATCTTTGCAATTACTTCGCGGCCGTTGGCGTTTAGCTCGTTTCATTTAATTGCGGGAGTGCGGGTATTACTTAATACTTACATAAAGGCTAAGTACAGACCCAAAGGGAGAAAGGAGGAGGTCAGTAAAAGCATGGAGAATTAAAAACACACAGAGTTGTCAAAGCTGTCGATTATTTTAACATTTATCAGAGATTCTGGCGCACAAAGAAGAGGTTATCTAACTGCTGACAGACAAACTAAATAGACAATTCAATAAAATGTAAACCAAAAATTCGATATATTGCTATTTTCTTAATTTTATATTGTTAGTTTTATGATAAATGGAATTATATGGTAAACAAGTACGTACAATAACTAAGATCGTTAAACCCGTTCTAGTCAATTTCGTAAAAATAAGTTGTATGATTATTTATGTTTTACAATATTTTCTAATAATGTTGGTTAGAGGTTGGTTGAGTCATTTGCAGGATATTTTAACCTAAGAAGACAAAACTTCAATCTTCAATAGTATCTTCTTGTGTTATGAATAAGATTTAAATCAAAGACAGCGGAAACGCGCAGGTTTCTTATACGATAAGAATGGATGAGGAAGCAGTGCAACCGCAAAACACCGTTAGTGTCTATTCTATCTGACAACAGATTGAGTACGTCAAGGCCGAGAACTAACTGCAGGATGACGATAAAGATCACGTAATGTGTCGTAAGTTTCCCTTCCGAACTGGTCCGGACGTCCTACTGGAAATTCTGTTATCCGGGAGTTTGGATTTGGGTCATTTTTTAGCAAATCTTATCGCCATAGCATTTTCAACATCTACCTAAACTTGCGTTGTTTACGGTGAGTTGTGCTACGAAGAAAATCTACCTGTCCTATTTTACAAAATTTTAGATTTGACAAGACAATTTTATTATTATTTTTTAAATGTTTTTAACGTTGTGGTAATGTCACTAACGAAAAACGCTTACAATAATTTGCCCATGCATGCTCATGTTTTTCTCAGCTGGAGTTTTTCCAGGGTTAAAAAAAGTGGGGGATTTATAGCATGACCTCAGCATTATTTCCCTCAAGACAAGCAAGATTTGTCGCTAGGCTGTTGGAAAGACAGAAACATATTAAAGGGTATTCTTATCCGTTTCCATTTACCCGATGCGTACCGCACAAAGAAAGCCCACTTTTTAAGGAAAAAACATGCTGAGACATTAATATAAGAAATCAAACACTAATTTACAACACATTCAAATTCTCCCACAGGGGGTCTGGCGTTCAAAACAAAAAAGGGTCCTGCCCAGATATTAGAAATGTAGAAAATGAATACGGAGGGGAAACTCACTGGTAAGATAAACGATCTGCAAAGAGGGGAAACACGAACTATATTATGTGCCTATATTTGTTTTTCACGTTGTAAATAATGACCAATCCGGAATGGCAAGCGGAGAGTGTGCCGTCCCCGCCAAACTAATTATTTTCTTCGGAGGGCACCCGGCTGGTTACTGCTATCAAGTGCATCACCAGAACATTGCCGAAGTTTTGTTTTCTTGGAAAACCCTTCAGTGAATGAAGCCCTTAGGTGATAAGAAACTCTTGCCTCAGCGAGATGTATTAAAAAAAATTAAGAAATTAACATCAGCAACTTTAGAAAAGGTATCCGCATAGCCCACTAACAGATTAAACACGTTTTATTTTATTACGTACTTTAATATTGCATTGCATCTAGTCATTTTTAATTGGAAATCCTTTACAGCTTCGAGAGGAGTTGGTAATTAGAGACCGGATTTCTGTGTTATTGGATATTTTGTTTGCATGCGTTTCACGTCTTCTAAAGCTTAGAATGTACACCATATATCTCTTTGTTTCATGACCCAAGAAAGCATAACCTCAAACAAATTGCAAATTTTGGACCTTTTTGAGCTAACATGCACCAATTCTATTTTTATTTGACAATTAATCCAATTTCATCGAATTTATCCATTTTTTAAGAAAAAATCTGAATTAAATTTCTCTTTAGCAATTACAATGTTTTTTGCAATTATATATAATTGTAAATAATATTACTGGCAAAGTAGTAAATGGAAAATATAGTAATTCGCAGTAGTACACAATGAACCTATTCGTAAAAACAAAGCGTTTCATCAAAAAAGCCCATGAGGCCCGTCTTTTTCGTATTTTTATTGCTAAGGGCTCAGTTCGTAACTCAAATCGAAATTTTGTACATTTTCTAATAAAATGCCCAAAATAGACGCGACTTCGTGGAAAGGTTTGTTCGTGCTATGAGAAAATTATAGCAACCGAACGAACATATTAAATTTCAGTATGCAAATCCGATGGTTTTTAATTTAATGAATAATTACACAGTACGTTAACCTTTATGGAATGTTACTAATCCTTCGACATCCTTTAGATGAAAAATAAAGAAAATCAGTTTCTCAATTTCATCCTTTCCACAATCAATTGTTTGTTTGTTTTAAATTGTTTTCTTTGACAAAACAATAATTTTTTTTCTTATAAGAATTGTTTTAAATCGAGATCTCGCCCGGGCAGGTGCTTTGGCCAATTTAAGTGCGTAGCGTCCCTTATATAGCCTGGGTGTGCCGCGCTCTACCATCCGTGTGGTCTACAGTCTTTTAAGGCCATCGGAAGTCTCGATCGAAGAGAATTTAGTGGTCGACCGCGATGTAGACGGCTAGACACGGCCTTTTATTGCCCTTACCGCACTACGGAACCATCACTTAACTAAACCATCACTGTAAGGGTGAGCTGAACATCAACAGAGGGGCTTCCTCAGAAAATCTATTCTCTAGACGTCATCAAGTTCTCTACTACTGGAGCGGCAAATTGGCGACTATTCGCAAATCATCTCGCTTGTACACTTGAAAAATGGGGAGTTCTCTTCACCAGACCAGCACTGGATTGTGGCAATCGGATGACTGAGACCGTCTGTGCAGAATACGAGGAGAACACTGCTTCGTGTGCCAAAATGGGTCACACCTTTCCAAAGACAGCCTACTAAGGTAGGGGGTGGAATCAACGTCCGTGCCTATAACTAGCTGATTACCATACTGAATAGATCGTTGACGGCACTAATTACATTGAGGAAGTTCTTCTGGAAGTTGAGATCACATTTATTGGGGACAACTTCATTTAATGCACGATAATGCTCGACCGCTTATTGCTGGTGTCACCCATTACTTGGAGGATGTACCACAATGAGGCAGCAGCACAATCTCCTGACGTGAATCGTATAGAACAGTTATGGGAAATGATGCACAGACGGGTAAGACAGTGTAAGGGGAGTGTAATAAAAATTTTCATAGGCGACGATGGGAATCGAACCCACAACCCTGGGTCTTCAAGCCAAGAATCTAACACGCCAGCCACTCGGCTACGTGTCCATCTGCCGCTCCAAATATAAAATGAAGTTTTATTTTAATTCGTCCACCTTATGTATTTCTATACCTTTTGCAAGAGATCGTTTGTATTTTAAAAATCCAATTTTCACCCGTACCTCATTACGATAAAAATTCTTAATAAAAATTTAAAAAATCAAGAAATTAACATCAGCAATTTTCACAATTATCTCCATAGCCCATAATCCTGTAACCTTTTATTTAATAGTCATTTGCTCGTTTAGTAATTCCAACTAAAATTTTACATTGAATCTCGTAATTTTTATTTGTAATTCCTTTTCAGCTTTGATAGTTGAAAATAAATTCATTCCTTTCTGCTCCTGTGTGTATTTTTATCATGATGATTCTACTTCTGAAACAATTACTAATTCTGACTCATTTAATTTGGCCATTTTCACACTGAGTATAACATATAAATTATTCCATCAACTATTTATTTTTAATGTTACTTTTATCACATAGACGTCTCATATTATAATACATCATGACAAATGAAGCTAATATGACATACTAAGAGAAGAAACAAAAACTGGGACTTCATAAATAAGAAGGACCTAGATCTATAATCACCGTTACATCGTTAAGATGACGTGTGCGCATATAGTCAACTATTTAACGTCAGTTATCACAATTTTATAAAACTTAATATTAACACTATATGCGAAGAGAAAACTCAAAAAAGGCCTAAATAATTTATTTAAAATTGCAAACTGACCTCAGCTAAAAGTGTGAAACCGTGCATCTCGGCGATCCTCCTTGCGTTCGTTGGTCCGCCTTCGATATGTGCAGCCCATTGGGATGTGTAGTGGGACGTCACCTCACAGACTAGTATCAGTAGAGAACATATCAACAACATCTCACACCTCAGCATCCCATATCACTGGAAAAAAAGTAACATATTAAAAACGCAAACAAAATCAGGAGGGAAAGTAATTTTTATATTGCTGAATTCCTGTACATAATAAGCATACCCGGTAACTACAGAGTATACAAGTGATCGGTTTGTAAAAAGATGACGATTTTCGTTTGGTTTAACTATAAAGACGTTATGCTCTTTGAGTTTGTTCCAGGCGGCTGACACAGAGCTTTATACTCAACAGCTGGATAGATATGGAGATTTAAAAGATCTTTCATCAACCGAAAAAAGTAACTCTGAATTAAGATAACGCTAGTTTGTATGATCTAATTTGTCATTGACAATATTCTCGAAAGTGGAAGGAATTCGAAATGCCCACACCCTGCTTATATCCCTGATCTCACGCAGGCTGGTCCCTGATCGTGCTTTTTCGAAATTTTAACCGGAAACACAACCATCAAATAGAATTGTAAAGTAGTCGACAATAATGGCTAAGGTTTTATTGGGTAATTATTGTTTGATATTCATTTTTCAATAAAACCTGTTCCTTGCAAGGACTTTTGTTACAACTTAACAGCCACAAGTTTTAGTAAAACAGATAAATTATTCAAGAAGTAGGTGAATAAAATGCTGTTCTCAAGTTTGCATCTATGGGATTTATAAATGGGGCAGAGAGGAGAAAAATGCAAGTCATACTTTTACTAGACATTTATAAACTGGAGCACAGAGCTTGAAACCTATAAATGTACTGTTTCATTCGAAATAAACTTCTTTTTTTATTTTCTCTTTGGCTAAGCCTTTTTAAGATAAAATTTTAACTTTTTTAAAATCAGAATAGTGTTTGTAATGCCAAATATTCAGAATAAAAAATACATTTTTCCGCATCAGCCGATACGATTTGATGAGATGTCCCATTATCAAATATTTATCATGATTTTTTTTCTTTTCATCAATCAAAACTTCCCAGAGCAGGTATTGTATTCAAAATATTCAATTATTAAAATGGAATGTAGGAGGCAGGTCCTTGCGGTTTTGTCCAGGCTACTGTGACCCTTCGCAAGGACATGAAAACGCCAAGTGACCTTTTGCTTGACAAAGTGGATCTTACATATAAATTATAACCGTCCCATTTACCGTGGGTAAAACAGCGATATGACTCGGGTAGAAACAAAATATACTTTACAAAGAACACAACTTGCACATTAGCTTAAGTGACTGTCAGCGATAATGGGAAACTACGAGCACATATCCTCTTCAGAAGGGCGCTCGGTTAAATTATTCCTTAAATCCACAACTACCTTTCAACGCAAAACGGGAAAATCTTTACTGGAAAGGGCGGAAGTGATATAATGGTTGGCGAAAATATTTACTTTGTATATCCAGACAGGCTTATTGTTTGCGGCGTAAAAAATCCTTTAAAATAATGTGTCAGGCTGTATAGGGTCGTATCTGAAATTTTGAAGTTGAATTAGGCCAGATGTACGCTGTATAATTTTTCTACAAAAAAGCCAAAAATTTTAAATTGAACTGAAAAATATTAAACACGTATTTTATGATAGAGTCATTGGTTCAAGAGAAATTCAGCCGGGCCATCTAAAAGTACACCCTGTGTGCGTGCGTGCGTGCGTGTGTGTGCGTGCGCGTGTGTGTGTGTGTGTGTGCGCGCGCGCGTGATGACTGAAATCCTCCATCGTACCAGTATTGTTTATCTTTTCTGACAGAGTATAGTTTTGTTGAGTCCTCTGATGAAGACTAATACTGAACAAAGAGTCGATAAATTAACGATACCCTTTAATTGTACCACATCCCTGATAGAACTTTTTATAGATTTAATCTTGTTTAATACGATCCTGCATATGTTTGATAAGACAAAACAACTCATACATAATATAATCGTGATGTAAGTGACGACGTACAAAAGAGACTTAATTGAACGTTGACAGTGTAATCTCTATTCAATTTACATCGACCGATGCACAGGCTCCGTTTTCAACCACTTCTTCAGGTGAATTTCTGCTCTTTATTTACATGAAAATTATTTGCTCCAAAATGTTTCCATTGATAATACGTATGGTTACTAAATAGCAGCTGGGATAATGAAAAACTAAATAATTCATTTTAATTTATATTGGGTGCATTAAAGTTGAGAGCTTTTGTGTTAGATGAATAATGCAGTCGGCCAGAGGTTCTATTTTTCCATAATACAATGTATAATAATATTATGTAATACGTTATGTTATATAATAAATAAACTAATTAAGATAATATAATGAAATAAATAATACTAAATCATTTTAAAAATGATATTTTATGTATATTATTAATATTGCAGTACATATGGTACTGTATTGTAGATTAGCATTGATAATTTATTGCAATATACATATGTAAAAATAAGAGAGATAATAAAATGTGCATTCCTTGTATATTAAAATCAACAGTTGCTTCCCCTTTATCAATGAGATTAAAAAGTGCCTATAAATTGTTCTTTAAATATTTTGAAACTGTACGTACACTTGTATTTAGTGGTAATGAGAGAGTTGTATCAAAGGTTTGTAGTTTGAAGGTTGATGTCGAACCATTCCAGCAAAATTTGAGATTCTAATACTATTCTGCTAGTATAGTTAAAATGTTAACATTTCTGGTTTATTTGAAAGGTTTAAAAAATCACACTGTCATAAATTAAAAAAGGGTGATATACTGTTTATAGAAATATATTTTTGTGAGCCCAACCAGATTTCCAATTTGTTCTAATTTATTTGTTAAAAGAGTTAAAAAATGGTTGCTATTTGTGCACCTTTCATGTTAACAATCGAGGAACATTTTTTATGGGTGTGTTTTGTCAACAACCTCGGTGAGACATCACTCCATCACCCAGGAGAGAAAGGATTGTATTTATTACCTGAAGGAAAATGGTAAGTGATAAATCACTCGTTTTCTCACAAGGTTTTATTTATCGTTCAGGAGGGTTTGGATTTCGAGGTCGTGAAGCATTCCTGTAGATTGAATCCCACCGATCAAAATAAATGTAATTTCTAAACCATCCTTCCCTGCCCTCAACCAAAAGAATAAACAGTACGATTTGTTGTTATCACATTCGTATGAATTATGATCTCAATCCATAATTTGCCAATTATGTAAAATTTAAGAATCTTAAATATTGTCGTAGAAGTTGGCGAGGTTAATTAATAACTGAAATAGCGAATTTCGATCTTCCTCTCCCAAGTAGGTGTCAATCTATTGTTGCTAGGATGTTAAAACGGTAGGGAGTTGTACAACTAGAGCAGACAGATTTCTAGACCTGATATTTAGCGAATCAGGGATCCGATTCAGAAGCTACTAGTACAATTGATCACTATGTACAGATTTCATCATTTAAGACGAATGGCTGTTCATACAGTTTGGACGAATCATCTTTTAATATAATTTTCATAGCGATCGGATAGTAAAAAAGCTGCGAAGAACAAAATGACATATGATTAAAGTAAACGGTTAAAAGCGTCTCAAAATCTAAACGTAAAATTTGTTATCCGGTAATCCTTTTAACCGGACTGTTTTATCCGGTTCGTTGAGAATGAATCACAAACAACCCAATTAAACATGTTTTGGTTAACGCAACGTTTCCATTATCCATTTGAGAGCGTTAATTAAACTTTTATTGCCCGGAGGTCATTCTCGAGAGCTCACCGCCAAAAACATGTAGTCACATTTGATATAACAACGCTTAACCCTTTATAAGAGAAAGGGAAAGGGGAAAAAGGAGAGAGAGAGAGAGAGAGAGAGAGAGAGCGTGAAAAGGTAAGGTTACAGGGAAGTGATAGACGAAGTAAGGAAGGTGTATGTGTGTGTGTGTGTGTGTGTGTGTGTGTGTGTGTGTGTGCGTGCATGCGTGTGCGTGTGCGTGTGTGTGTTGTCCACGTATTTTACTATTGTTTTGCAGATATATAATAGACCTCCGGCAGACAGAATTTGTATTGACTGAATGTACGGTGCCTTTATTATATATGCTATTGAATTGAGAGAAATTTACATTATTATTATTATTATTATTGTCTATCGCAATATTTTTTTTTGGAAAGCGTTTTTATTATCAGTGAATTAATAAAATCAAAATACATATGTTTACAATTAAAACGAAAAATAAAATACATGTTTCACTAAACGGCATGGCAACAAACCGTCTGCCAGTGTTGAGCAGATTATATAAGAAAAAAAAAGCTAGAAAAGTAAAAATAGCCTTGCAAGAAGGGATCAAATACATAACTGAAACTGGATACTCAGATAGAAGAGAACAGGCAAGCCGGGCATCACTAATGAGGAGACATTTTATTGCAGAGTTGAGTAACTCTATAGATGAGAATCAGAAAACCGCTGCGTACCAAAAACGGAAAGGCACAAGTCAGAGCACCTGGAAGATACAGCCAAGAAATGAAACAAGAACTCTACATCCCCAGAACAGCACTTGACATCCATGTGACACATCCATCCGCTCTATCCGTGATATATAATTCAAATGAAGAAACTCTCCTCGTATTTTAAAAATCCATTTTAATTAGGACAAGGACAATCCGTTTGAACCGTCAGCTAGAAGGCTTCACAAATTAAAATCAGGGTTTAGATGACGGTAAAGAGAAAAATGGGTAGTAGAATTTCCTATTTTTAACTAATCTTTCGTACATAACTACTTAAATATTTTCTTTTAAACGTCAAGTCCGTGAATATTTTTTAAGAAACAACATTGACGTGTGTATAATTCTAATTATTTCATTTGACTCACATCCTGCTCTTCATGTAAGGTCTAACACAATTAAAATGCTAACACAATAGAAGGATGTAATGCCAACTTTTTGTTACTCTTTTTTAAACAACGAAAAAGTTCAAATCTTCACGGAGACTTTAAGAATTGGTGAGATATTTATTCTCGTAGTTTGTTTGATAGATGAAGTTTTGAAATGAAACAGCCGAAACAGGAAAGTTCTCAATGTTGGACTAACTTATTCTCACCGTGAAAGAATTCATTATCA